TCTCTCGTTCTAAAAAGCGCCCATGATCACAAAGAAGAACAAGACACATACATACTTCGTATCGAAGCAGAGCTACGATATGTGTGTACAGAGTGAAAGTTATGGAGGTATAAGTAGAGTCTGCTTTGGAGATCCATCGTTATCGGTATACGTCCGGTTTAGTATTTAGTTAAGTGTGAACCACATGTAAGACCTGGCTCGGTTACCATCTCAGTTACAGAGGTCAAAGGAAGAAGACGAAGATAAGAAAAGTTTGTTATTCTCGTTAATGGGAAAGATTACATGTAATGCTCTTTATATAGAGCTTCTAATATGTGGTTTACACTTAACCAAATACTAAACCGGACGTATACTGATATACATGGCCATAAAAAGCAGACTCTTATTATATTTCTTCTCTTCCTCTTTATTACACACATTCGATTCTTTGCTTCTTATCTTACTCTGTTTTTTGTTTTGTTTTTCTTGTAGATCATGAGTGCTCAGAGAATAAGTGTTTTGTTTTGTTTTGTTTTTTTGTTTTTTTTTTTGCAGAATGAATAAGTGTAGTTTCATTTATTCCATAGCTACATTCGTAGAACATCAAACAATATTTCATCATCACTTATATCAGTGATTATTTTATGATTACAGATTAAACATAAAGATCGAGTTTTGGGTCTGATTCTGATATCGCCTCTATGCAAAGCACCCTCATGGTCTGAATGGTTTTATTACAAGGTTATTTTATATGACTCTACAATAAGCCACACGTTTCATTCGCATCAAGACGAATAACACGATGTTAATAAGTCTTATTCTGCTGCAGGTAGTCTCAAACTTGTTGTACTATTATAGCATTTCTGGATTGTTAAAAGATTGTTTCCTTCAGAGGTACTTCAGTAAGGTAAGCTTACTTGTTTGAGGAACCATGAGAAACCCCACCAAAGATAACTTTTTTCATAGGATGGCTCGCTTATTGAAGTAGCTTCCTCAATTTTCTTTTGTGAGAAGACGGAAGCGCCGTATATCTATCTACACATAACATATATCTGAGCCGTTTCAGAAATTTGTATTATTTGGTTATAAAAATGAGCTCGGATAGAGCTGAAACTTTGTAAGAACCTTTAGGACTCACAACTTTTTGTTTTGTAACCTTTTCTCACTCATAATCTTCATAATCACATAAAAAATGCTACAGAATATCACATCATTTTACTATCAGTTTTTGTTTTTATACAAAATCGTAAGAAAATGCTTTGAAACCTCTTCATCATAACTTTTTGTATTATTACACTTCTAACAAATGCTGTCGAAAATACTCATTGATACCATCGAAATCACAAAGAAATTTTGTTGAATCCTAAATTTTCTGTTGAGTTCCAACGACAACATAAAAAATGAAAGCAGTCGTCACTCGTCTGTCGTCAGGTGGGTAACAACATGAAGAATTCCAATTATTCTTCCAAAAACCAGTACACTTGACTTAAATTAGTCGTGTGTTTTTTGCAATTTCCATGTATATATATATAAAAAAATACTACTCAAGAAAGGCCTTGTGTTAGAAAAATTGGGCCGGGCCGAAAATAAGATATCATGCTATTCGCAGCCTCTCGGATGGTAGTATATCATTCCATTGGAGTCTCTCGAACAAATTCGCCGTAAAACTTCCAGGAGAAATCGTTCATCTTTTGCAGTTTCTCGATTAGTTCTGATCATGGCGTTGAACACAGGACTCAGATCTATCTCAAGGATCATAGCTTCTTCCGAATCATCTGTCTCCAGATCTGGTCAGTTCCCAAAAAAAAAAAAAATAATTCGGCAGCTTCGGTTTTACATTTCTTTGTTTTTCCCATTTTGTAGTCTAGGTTTTGGCTGCCTAGAAATTGAATACTCTGTTCCCTGATTATCTTATTGCTGCAGAACGGATTTGGACATTTGGTTAGCTTCTTTTATTCATTTTAGGGATTAGGATTTTGATGTGTCTATGCGAATTCGTCGATTGGTTTATCTTTTTATCTTATCGTCAAGCATCTTATCATCAAGCGTTTGATTTTGGAATTTCGAATTTTGTTTGAACCATCTCCAATCGCAGTTTTGTTATAAACATAATCTCCCTCCTTGACACGCTTCAATGGGCATGATGTGAAAAATATTGTTTATGCTTTAATGACGATGTATCATGACATCAAGAATGTCTATTTAAGTGTTTTCCTTGCTTCACATGTACTAGAGAAACCCATCAAAGTACACACCTTTTGCTTCTGAAATTGTATCAAATGTTAAAATTATCATGTTCATGCTTCGATAGTGTTGGTTAATCGGTTAAAGTTTCCATTTTTCGGCTAGCATCCTCTATTGCTCAGTAACAAACATACATTTACTTAGCTCTTTGTGTATACATAATATGAGTCTTAGCAGCAAACCTCTAGTACTAGGATCAGCGTGTTTTAATATAGTTTAAAACAATATTGGCTATAAGATGTTAATCAGCGCTTGAGTTAGGCCAGTCACTGGCATTATTTTTTCCCATTTCAAAACTTGTTGAAAATTTCATTGTCATCATCGTGAACAGTGAGCAGAAGCTTCCACTCTACTGGAGCTAAGAAGATGAGCGGAGGACATGGTCATGACGAGCCATACTACCTCCACGCGAAGCACATGTACAATTTGGACCGCATGAAGTTCCAAGGTCTCAAGATGTCTCTCGCTGTCTTCACAGCTTTCAGTATCGGTGTTGGAGTTCCCATCTTCGCAGTTGTCTTCCAGCAGAGGAAGACCGCATCTGGTTAAGTCTCTCTCATGGTGGTGCTGTTCTCAGCTTGAATAATTTGTATGATCTTTCTTAAACTCTGCTTTTGCAAAAGAGTTTCTCGCTTCTTTTGGATCTTAGCTACAAGTCTTATCATTTTGGTAAAGTTTGTATTTTTCTTCCTCCTTTGCTTGGCTGTTTGATGCTCTCCAATAATGATAATCCGACATGGACGGCCTTAATTTTTCTAAACTTTTATTGGCATTGGATTTTTTGTTTGAATATTTGTTCACTTCATGTATCGTAGAAAGATCTCCCAAAAGCCATGAAAGATGAACATATTCACATGTCTATTAATCAAAAGCACAATCAAATGAAAATTTGAAATCCAGAAAACACACAAAAAAAACCCCCACAAATGATGTGAAAAATCTGTTCAAAAGCTTAAAACCACATCTTGTTTCATCATATTTGTCACTCTAGCATCTCAGGCAACATGGCAGCATTCAACCGCTGCGAATCTCCAACGGTATCCTCCTAACCGCAAATCGCAGATCTTCAAAACGCTGAGTGTGGTGGTCATTAGAGAATGTCATGAGGTCTGTGTTTCATCACTTTTTGTCATCACCACCATTTTCACTAGCTTGACTTTGGCTTGGCTCGTGATGTTGCTGGTGATGCTGATGTTGATGTTGGTCTAGCGTCATGGCCAAACCATCACCTCTACCACCACGCATTGCAGCCGCCATGTTGCTCTCGGCCACACCTAATCCTAGCTGCTGACCTCCCAACATCATTGACCCCATCGGTGCGGTTACGACCCGGCCCGTCCCAACCGGATAATTCCCGGGATTAAATGCCCACATTTGGTGACCCGGTTGCTGCTGCATCTGCTCTCGCCCACCCGACCCACTCATCGGAAGCATCCAGAACGCACTTCCTCCGTTCGTGGTCCCCGGAGCCATCGCCCACATTGGTTGAGGCACCACACGGCCCGGACCCGGACCCGGACCCGAACCCAAATCTTGATCCTGGAACTGACCCGGTTTCTGAGAACTCCCACTTGGTTCAGACTCCTTGAAGTAATCTTCTCTGTAAGGTTTCGCCAAGTTGGCCGGGCTTCTCTCCGTCGACATTATCGGCGGGTACATCTGATGGTGAAACCCGAAAACGGCAGCGTTCTGAGCGGCTGCGGCGGCGTTTAACATCTTCCTAGAGGGATCTACGGCGGAGGAGGAGGAAGAAGACCCGTTGTTAGTACCGTTACTGTCGTCGTAGAGAGACATTCCGGTGCTGTGAAACGAGAGCGGCGAAGATGAAGACTTTGACGGCTGAGCGAAGATGGTGGAGCCGCAGCCGCCGCCGCCGCTACCGCGTAAAGAGGCGTTTAGCGTTGAGAAATTCGCCGGGATCGTTCCGGTGCCTGTAGATGCGATAATTGCAGGCTCTGCTTGCTGGAGAAGCCACTCGATTGTCTCTCCGTCGGATTTATGACCCAACTCTCTCGTTAGCTGGAAAACTCTAGCGGCGCACATCGCCGGCATGCGGATTCGCCGTCCACGGCCGTCCACTTTCGTGTGTCGATCTTTAGACGGCTTCTTCACGGCGGATTTAACTACGGCGAGAGCACTCCCTGAGCTCGTGGTGCTTGTGCCTGAGCTCGTCGCTGAACCGGAGATACCTCCGGCAAAAGGAACCGATCCCGGTGATGGGTTTTCGGTAGAATTGAGTTGCAGCCCTGCCTCCGCCGTCGCGACGGCTTCTCGTTGACGGTCGTGGGGATTCTGAGTCGTGCCAATTTCCATCTCCTGATCCTCGAAATCCCTAAAAGAAGTTACCTTTAAGCAAAACCCATGCGAATTTCGACAGCAGACATCGAAGTCTCCGAAATTCCGGGTAAATCTGAAGCAATTTGGGGAATTGATTGAAAAGGTAAAAAGCAGTGAGGAGATCTAAGCAGAGCTTTCTACTATAATGGCGTTGTGAAGAAGAGAGAGAGAGAGAGAGAAGGAGAGAATGATTGAAGGATAAAAACAAGTGGATATGATGGAGGAAACTATCCATCTAAAATCTTCTTAATTATTCAACCTTTATTGACTTATTTGTTTTTCTTACACTGTTCTTGTTTCTCCTCTTCTTCCTCTCCATTTTGCTCTCTCGTGGTTAAATAAAAAAGCGTCTTTTATTATTTTAAAATCAAAAATTAACGACCCTCCTTCCTTCAGTATTAACAAAAGAAGATCATTTTTAGTCTTTTTCAAATTTGGATTATGATAAAGAAAAAAATCACCAGATTCTAAGTTCCAATATCTCATCACTCACCTAATTGGCTAATTAACTCTTTGATTTTTATTGTGTTTGATAAAAGACTACGTGATGTGTACTGTTTTGGTTTGTTGTTGTGTAAACGTGAAGGGACGGTTCATACTTGCAATTAGATATTACAGCGCCGGTGAGATTAATTACGATATATACTACACTGGATTAGATAAATTATGTTAGTGAGAAAAAAGGTTCAGTTATAATTATTTCAATTTGGTGGTTGCTAATACTAATCCACTCACCAGTTTTAAATTGTTTCTTTTGTCGATAAAGACGTTACTGGTGAGCGGTGATTCATGTTAATCACTCTCCTCAACAACCTGTTTGCCTTCTTTTTAATATTCTTTCTTATTCCCACATGAAAAAGTTTGATTAGATTTTGAATCTTTGATTATATATATATACACACTGAACACTTTTTCATACAAGCCAAAATCACGCAAGATACACAAACAAAATCTACATATTTTTCCAAATGTTATTTTTCTTTTTTGGATATCCGATCGAGATGTAATATTATTAGAAGACTCATATCATCACTGTTTAGATTTACTAGCACAAAACAGTTTTTATTATGTTATCATTAATATTTCGGTTTCAGCTTGCAAGTCCATTGATAATTGTATGTATAACAACATACTAATATTTTTGTAGCTGGTGTTAGCTTAAAAATTAACGTTAGTAGACGACACAAATCTTACCGTCTTACCAGTAAAATGGAAAAGAAAAACAAAACAAAACTCCCAACAATTTTTTTTTTTATGGCCGAAAATCTGTAATAAAAAAAAAGGTAAAAACAAATTTCCATTTTGCTAATACAATAATTGATTTTTGAGATGATTTTATCATAATACTATAATAGTATAGCATGTATATTGATTGCGTTTGACTTGGTAAAAGTACCAAATTTTACTGGAAGCGTGGGGTTACATAAGTACATGACATTAATCGGACAGTTCGTATACTCTTGTTTTTTCTTCTTTTTCTAATTTGTTTCTGTCGGATTGTGTCTTGTTATGTAAGACTTACATTGGTCAATAGTCAATAAGTCAATGGCTCCTTCTACTCCGTTTGGCTTTTTTTTTTGTTTGCTTGGGGCCTGAAAATTCTCAGGTGGCTCTAAGACAACCATCCTTGAATTTTCCAAATAATAAAAATAGGGAAGTTACGAATGTTTTTGTAATATTGTTGTTGTAAATTGTAAATATCAAAGGTACATGCACAAACGGAAATATATAATTCAAGTCCAAGAAGATGATCTATTAAGAACAGGTTTCATATGTTTCTCTTCTTCCATTGAGATCATTCCCACATGCGTTGGATCATCCATCATCATCTTGGCCACCAAATAGCCAGCGATTGACCATGTCTGAAATTTCCTGGCCTGTTTTCCGATGAACCTTCCTGACTTTCCGTCGTAGTACTCCGGCCATCCGTCCTTCAACAGCCGTGCCTCTGCCAAGTCTATTGCCCGTCGTGCTATTTGTGGCCGTCCGGTCTTTATGCTGGCCGCCGTTAGTAACCATAGAAGCACTACACATTTTGCATCAGCCACATGAGAGAGCCATATTTGATTGAATGATTATACAAAACTTAATATATATATATATATATATATAATAAATGTGTCTTTAGAAGAATATAATAGGGGTGAATGAAAGCACTAACATGAATCTGCTCTAGTTCACCATTCACATTTTAAAAGTTAAATATTAGTCTACTATAGAATCCATTATTATTTTCCCCCACTACATACGTTTAAACTTTTAGGTGGCTAAAAAACTCGCTATTATGCTTCTCAGAGTTTTCTGAATCGAAAGCATGTACTATATTGCAAAGGAAGGCAATATTCTTCAACCACTCGTATTTTGATTTATCTATAGTTTTATATATATCTTAGTAATTCACTCATTTGTTTATTTTGCCATTTAGATTCTTTGAAGACTAATGAGACAAAAAAAAAATAGGTTTTGTCACGACGATATCTGTAGATTTCCTTGAGATTTACGTTTGTCAAATTTAAAGTAAAATATAGTAATTTCTACGTACATTCTCAATATGTTCTGTTAGTTTTGACAGCCTAATGCCCATTAGATCCCATCAAAGCTCAAGTCAAACTTTAATCTTCCGAGAAAAAGGTTTGCTTTAAAAAAATTTGTTGGCTAAAACTTGGAATTCACTAACTCATAAAAAAATATTGATTTAATGACTTGTAAAAGAAGGTAACTAACCTGGCCAAGAGCCTCCGTTGTGGTAACTCCACCTTATGTTCTTAGGGTCGCTACCAGTAACGATCCGCCATTCGTGACTCTCCATTGCCGGATAACATATCTTCAACGGCATCTCTCCGACCAGTTCCTCCCACCGAGCCTCGATCAAGTCCATGATTGCCATGGACTGCTCTTGCGTGGCCAAGGAGGCAAGGACAGCGATACAATTCCCCAACGCAAACCACCTGAAATCCATGTGGGCAGGACTGACGTTTCCAACGAAGTAGCCACCTCGTAGAGGCATGAAGTCTAAGAGCCAGTCCGGGATGGAGTCGGGGATGACGTTGAACTTGTTAACGGCCGTGTGTGAGTATTCCTCCGTCTTGTAACGGTAAATGTCATTTAGCTGCTGAAAATCGAGCCAAAAGTAGCTTCGCATGTGGAAGCTCATCGCGTGAAGCCGCTTCACTATCTTGTCCATGAACTCTTTTCCTTCAGTGTCTTGTTTTAGCATTGAGAGTGCGGATCGAAGAGCCATGAAAAAGAGAGCTTGGATCTCGATGGGGTATCCATAAACACCCTGTAAAATATTTTAAAAAACATTTATTAATAGATGTAAATGGAGCATTCACACAAAGCTCTTTAAGTTTTTGTTAGGAATTTCATATTGAAAGTGAGATGAGACCTAAAGTAATATATAGAGGAAATATATATCAATTTACGCTTTGATATTTGGTTTTTTAATTTGAAAATTATATGTTTAAAGTTATTTTTTACTTCATTAACTTTGATTTTGTATAAAATTTGCATGAGTTCTCACAATAGTTTGAAACATTCATACAAAAAAGTGTTGGTTTCTAGGAATCATGGAATAACATATGCAAGAGGATGAAAGAGAGATTACCATTCTCCTGTCGATCATGGAGCAACCATCCGCACAAAGCAAAGTAGGAAAAGTATCAAAACCCTCAGAGAGACACAAAGAGAGTATAAGCTTCATTCCCTTTTGGCACTCGGGTCTCTCAGCTAAAGAATGGTCTCCTGTGGACTTTGTGTAAGCTCTAAGGAGAATGATCCACCAGAAGCCTGAATCAACTGGAGCCACCCTCCCAATAGCGCTCTCTCCAAAGTCAGCAATGATCGTATCCGTCTTCTTGATAGGGTTATGGAGAACTTTAAAGCTCGCTGGCATTGCACCGTCCCCGAGCTTGAACCTATCGATCCTTTTGTCTTGTCCCTGGATATGAAGCGTCTTGAGAAGAAAGTTCTTCACAATCTCCGGTTCTCCATTCATCAAGAATGCAAGAGCACTCGGTACAAAATCCCGTACGAATACCTTACAATAACCAAAAAATATTGTAATGAGGCAAAACATTTACAACATTGTAATAATATATAGTGTGTACATTTCAATCAAAGCAAACTAGAAAGAAACAACAAAACACAAAACCATACCTGATCATAGTTCAAGACCTCCTCAGAAGCATGGTCGTAGGCGGCGATGGTTCCTACAGGTTGTCCTCGGAAGTAGACTTGAGACCGGCGTAGAGCCTCCCAAGCTTCTGTGACCATTGGGTGAGGGTTCATGGAGAAAACCGGAGTTTCCCAACCAGACCTACCGTCCAGTGAGTGTGCACTGTCGTAGAGGCTTAAGTCATTGAAAGACTTCTCGTCGTATGAATTATTCCGTTCGAGTTTCACTCTTGGTCTGTCAAGAAGCAGAGCCAGTAGGTCGCTGTCGTCCAGCTCGGATGATATCGAGCATAACGAGTTCACTGCTCGCATCCCTTGTACTCCCTTTTGTTCGACGTTCGTGGATAGTGAGCTCATCGAATTCACCGCTCGGAGTACGACCCGTTTCTTTTGTCGGTCCATGGTTAATGGAGGTAGCTAAGTTGTTCAACAAAACTCTTTTATTGCTACACGAAAAATGGCAAACAACTAAGAACCTAATAAAACTAAGAGTTGAATTCTTAAAGTATGGTTTCGATTCTCGGACAGGGAATCTTAGGATTGGTTTTACTCGGCGAGACTTGAAGAACAAATGACGTTAAAAGAAGGAGCCAATATATAGAATAGAGAGATATGACGATAAAAACGTCTTTACATGAGCTTCTTGCGGATAGAAATAAATAATTAATAGTTTCAAGATATCTCACCATCTTTTACCAAAAAAGAAAGATATCTCACCATCTGTAGTTTTTGCAATTATATTTTCTTTCCTTTGTATTAGTTGTGCATATTTGTTACGTTTTATGCTGTTCTTAAAGAAAAACATATTTGGATTAGCTAAAAAGATCTTATCTAAAATGAAATATATAACACATGTTAAGAAGATAATAATAGTAAAAAAAAAAAGATAATAATAGTAGACACATGTAAGTGTGTACCAAGACATTCATACACGTTTGTATATGTCCTTTTATTGTTCTTTTTCCATTTGATATATTTTACAATAAAGATTCTTAAAGAACATTTGTATATGACATTTTTTAAGTGGTATCATAATTAAATTTCACCAATCAATTGATGATCATTTCTATGACAAAGAATGGATCGTCAAGAATCTTGGTGATGAGGTGACATGACAACTGTTCTTAAGTCTGTCATAATAATATCATCAAAATTCTTGACCTGGATGATCCATACATCTACATTGGCACGATCAATATCTCACCGAGGATTTTCTTGTTGTGTTTTAAAGATCAAATTGTTTCTAGACTTAACTCATCCAATAAACATGATTTTAATTACAAAATAAAGTATGTGTTTGTTATAGTCTTATTCTTTTCCTGTGAGTTCTGTATGACCAATTTTTTTTTCCTTAACTAAGAAAGCTGGGTAAGATCTATCATCTAAGCCGTAACTCGACACCATGTGAATAATTATGTTTTTGTCCCTTAATCACATGATTTGTAATGAATTTACTTTCTGGTGTGAGACTATAGAGGACAAAAAAACTTGTCATACAACAGATACATGTTATGAAATCACATTAACATAAAACAACTCTGAATATAACAATCCGACACAACCGGTGACTCGTTAAGCTCCAGAGTTCTTCCCTCCTCTTCTGCTAATCTCTTCGCAAAGCCGACACGGCAACGTATCGAGACTCACCGCACGAGTTTTCCCATAGTTCCCCATTACTCCACACCGTCTCCACGCGTGATACTCGGAGTAAGCCACGGGATCATCAGCGAGCAGCTTCACGTACGCTGCCAATTCCTTCACAGAACCGAATTTGCTACCGTCTATCACGGAATGAGGCGGGACAAAGTCTTGAACGTTAGAGGCTCCGAAATAGATCGGAACAGAGCCAGAGTCTAGCGCATAGAAAAGCTTCTCGGTCACGTACGACTCAGTGGCTGTGTTTTCGATTGCAAGGACGAATTTGTAGTGTGACATAGCGCAGTGGAGATGGTCATACCATTTTGGCTCGGCGTTGGACTCGGCGACACATTCTGGATACATGGAGAGTGCTGAGTTCAAGCCACCGACATTGTTTAGACACTTGCCAAAGGAATGGTGTGGAATCAGATCTAGGAGGCTTTTGGCGAGGCGGTCTCTGTGAGGAAGGCATCTAGAAGAAGACCAATACAGCAGAACATCCTGTGTAATGTTTATCGATTGAATTTCTTCAAATGATGAAAATCAAAGAAGAAACGTGTGGGATTGGAGTTGTAGTAGGCTACTTACATTGTTTTTATGTGCAGAGATATGATAGTTTCTGTTATTATGAAAGAGAGCACCCGCGTAAGTTGTCTGGACATCATCTTTGGCATGGTAGCTTATGAATATATCTTCACGGCCTGAACGTTTTCTTCCGGCCTCTAGCTCCATGTACACACGGAGAGGATCTCCAACACGTCTCTAAAGAAAACAAAAAAAAACACTCAGCATCAAAGATAAAGCAGGTTTGCAGGACCACCCATTATATCTGAGGGAAACTAAGAGCATAAAAGATTTTTAATTTTCCCCGATCGTCCAAAATGAGTGCACAAAGCAACTCTATCTCTAAAGTTAGCTTCAAGTTTCTCTAGTCGAAAAGAATAGGCCAAGAACAAGAACACAAAGTTTCATTTGGTTATTGCGAATACCAAATGAAGGTAAAACAACGGTCGACAATGTAACTCTGAATTTCTCCACTTTTCAAACCAAAAGTCTTGACCGTTTATACATATGAACACCGGACTAAAACAAGAAGTAAATTTTTTTAACACCTTCGTATCTTTTAGTGAATCCTAATTCCTAAAACTAAAGATCTCTAGCAGCTAGAAAGAAGTGTGATATAATTTGAAATTGATAAACACATTAAAACCACAAACAGATCCATTGAAATGCATCCCTTGAGACTAATTTACAGCTCTAACCTTGATGTTCCAAGAACTGATAACCTAAACACACTACTTAAGAGCTAGAGTGAAGCAGCCATCGCAAGCTCATATCCTATTCCCAAAATGCATGCTTTGACAAAATTAGCATCAAGCAAGTTCAACAGAGAAAAAACTCTGGATAGAAACCACAAAAAAAAAGACCAGAAATACCTGTAGCGGAGGAGTTGTCGTCTCGAACAACAGAGCATCAGGTGAATCAGCCAGAACCGGTGATTTGGTCCACAAACAAGTCATCCCACATCGACAAGAGTATAGATTTTCCAAATTATCCGGAATCCAAGTCCACCCTTTCACCAAAACCCTAACGTGCTTCATCTTAAGCTTACCACAACCCGACACGCCGCCGAATTCTTGTAGAGAACCCGAACTAACATTAACCCGAATCGAATCCTTATGATTCTCCCTGAACGGAGCACAACCCACTCGCGAGTCCCATTTTCTAAAAGCCACGAAGACATCGCTGAATGGATCCGATGATACCGCGGCGTCGGAATCAGGTAATTTCCGTTCCGGGTCTATCGGATGTGGAATCGAAGTGGAGGCAGACGGGAATTCTAGAATGCCAGTGAAAGAGAGAATCAAGAGAGTAAAGAACATCATGAGTAAAGCCGCCATGGCGTTGAGGTGCCTCATTGGCATGGTGTGTGATTGATTCCTCTCTCAACCACAGAGATCCTCGACGCCGGAGGAGAAAGTCCGGCCAACGGTAGAACGGCTTTTCTTCATTCACTTCAATGCGTAAACAGTTTCTCTCTACTGGGTCCCCGTTACCAAAAATACGAAAAGAAAAAGAAATTCACAAAACGATGTCGTTTGAAAGGAGTGTAATAAAACCTGGGCCACTATTGGGCCTTTCAATAAGACTTAACTTGAAAAAGCCGTTTTTCTGTTAAAAACACACAACTTCAAAGCAAAACAACAAGAGAGACGTGTATATATACATAAGCTCATATTTGCTACAGAGGAACAGAGTTTGTGTATATGTGGAAGAAGTAAAATCTCTAAACCTAAACCGAAAGATGTTCATCTCAACCAAAAGACTATGAAGCATTAACACACACACACACACACAAGTGAGTCTCGTAGTAAAAAACTCAAATCCGAAATAAATAAAAATCTCATATATGTCCTGAACCATACCGGTTAGGTTCTATGAACTTCTTCAACAGTCTGGCAGCGAGTTTGCAGATGCGTATGGAGAGAAAGTTCCTGCTGATTCACTGTAACGCAGAGGATTAAACGTATAATTCGATGATCCGGCTAATGCAGGTGACGCATTGCTCGGGCTAGGCCTGTACGGTGACATGTACCTAGCGTTAAGAGGCGAGATAGTAGGGTAACCAAGTGACTGTGGAGAAGCCATATGAGAAATGTATGATCTCTGTGACGGTGATGGAGAAGCTGCTTGTTGTCTGAGATCCACTGAGCTTCGACTCAAGCTTATTGGAGGAGATCGCCGGAGTGAAGACGACCGGAACGACTGTCTGATGTAAGATGAGCTCGCGTGAGCAGGAGAGAAAGAGATTGAAGTTGGTAATGAACCCATTGAAGGACCGATCAACATTGCAGATGATCTGAAGGAAGATAAAGCAGAGGAAGAATTAAAAGAAGATGAAGCTGAGGAGAGTAATGGCGTGCTCTCTGAAGCCGGTGGCTCGCCATTGCTCGTTCTCGCATCTCGTTTGCACACGGGACAGAATGTTCTCCATGAGGTCAACCACGAGTCAACACACACAGTATGAAACTCTGAAATCAAACACACACCAAAAAACGGAACCTTTAGTTGGTTTTAACACAAATTTGCCAAAGTTACAAGATTTTGTATATATATACTCACTGTGACGGCAAGGCAGGAGCCTGAGCTTGTCTCCGATAGTGTAGTCTTCGAGGCAGATAGCGCAAGTGAAAGCAGTGGTGTTGTCTTCGTGTACAGAAGAGAATATAAGACTCGGCATTGCTTTAACCAAGCGGCGACTCATACCGTGGAACTCACGGACTCTAGAGGACCGAGATGTTCGCCTTCTTATCCGATGCCTGCGTACAAAGAAACAAGTGGCCAGAACAGCTGACATTGCAAGCAGCGAGATGAATGAAACCGCCATGATCGACCACGCCGAGTTCTCGAAACTCGGAGTCAACCAAACTTTCGTATCGGGCAAACCCGCATACTCTTTTAAAGCTTCTCCAGTCTCTTTGGTAACAAAAACCGCATGAATCTTTATCCCGCCTGAGTTACCTGCCACTGAAAATCCCCAAAGAAAAAATCAGCAAATATGAACAAAAGTTAGAATCAGATAGGATCAAGACAAGAACTGAAGAAAGAAAGTTTATTTACTTGCTATCAAGATTCCACGGTCTTCGTTGTCATGGATAATGGCAGCTTTGAAACCAGCTTTCTGAGCTTTTCTGACTTTGTCTTCAAAACTGCAACCTCCTCTTACGATCAACACAAAAGGGGAAGTTTCATTTGAGCTCTGTTTGGGTTTATTCATCAGATTTTGGCAAGCGTCTAGAGGCTCAGCTACATAAACCAATCCAATTTCACCAGCAGCCTTGACAGACGGAGCTGAAAAAGTTTAACCCCAAAAAGAAGAAAAATCACTTCATTTTCAAAACAGATAAAGAACGAATTTGAACAAGCACTAGCCTCAAAGACTCTCTGCGTTGACCAGAAACTACAGATTTCAAAAAGAACCCTCTAATCCACCTCAAGCATAAGCGATTATAGACGAAGGTAAAGAGCAAAATAGGATAATTTGAGAAAACTGACCGAAATTAGCTTCGATGTCATCAAAAGAGCGAGTGATGTTGTCCCTGATCAAAATCACTTTGCCTGACGCTAAAAAGGAAAGAGTAAAAACGTGTAATAGTAGGACCAGAGCACGATTCATCATCGTCCCTACCTCCTTCTTCACAAATCGAACAAACGAAAAAAGTTTCAATTTTTTTCTTTTTTTTTGGTTTCTGGGGAAATTTCGCGATAAGGGTTTTCAGACAATTGACACGTCAGCTTCCATTTAGATCACAAATTCTAAACCATATCGGACAGAAGCTTTAAGGGAAGAAAATCAAACCGAGAGGCTCAGATCGTCGGAAAACGGGAATGGGAAATCGAAATTCCGGATCTTTTACGCGGAGACTACGTATTAGGGTTCTTGAGGAGAGAGAGAGGGGAAGAGATGAGATTTGGAAGCTAATTACTAAAATTGTCTCATGTAATATCTGGAATTCTCCGATTCGAGCTTTGTTAGGTTATTTGGCAGCATTTTTTATATTTATATTCGCATCTTTTGAATGATCGGATAAATGATGAAACTTTAAAATGGTCTACTTTAAAAAAAAAAAAAAAATTGTAAAAGACAATTACAAGTAGGTGAGGAGATCAGGTGAGTCATGGCTCATGGTTTATGTTTTGTGGATCCATTAGTTGATTCGTTGGTTTACCATTACCACTCATTATTACGTCCCAAAGTTTATTGATGAATGATGATCCACCGATATTTTGACCATATTCTTTTATGGTTTATGTTACAGTCGTCGATATGCCGACAATGAACCATCGTAGTCATTTTTACTGTTCAAATTTTATTATCTCGTCTTTTTTTTTACATGGATGATTCCGGTCAAGTCCAATTAAACTTATAGATATACGAACAAATCTGTTGGATATTATATAGACCACCATGTTAATTGTTAAACACCTATTGGTCGGAGCTAACAACACCAAATTGAACCTAGGAACAAATGAATTCACAAAGGTTAAAAAAAACAAACAAAAAAAAGAAATTACATATGCCGCGGATCGAATATTAGTACTAGTTACTACTGTCAGATTAAATACGTAGTTGTTATTAATTAAAGTTAAACCTTACAACAAAATCATTGACGGTGCACAAAATAAAATTATCTCTGCGTTATCCATTAATATATATCTACTGGGTGCATGTTAGGTGTTGTATTTGTTTCTTCTGGAATAAACAGTCAACTCTCGATGTGGAAAGTTGTACTAGTATATTTGTATAATTTTGTACTAATTCTCCATATAACTGATATCTGTTCGTAAACTCTTGGAGACAACGGGACAATGCATGATGGTCCCAATTCTATCGCCAAAATAATTATTAGTTTCAATAAATTGCTATTCCAATTTCCAAAACCATTATACACATATGATTAGCTGCTATACTCCTGGTTTTGATAGTACTGTCCATTTATTTTACCAGTTTAAATATTGTGAACCCTTCAATTAATTATTAGTATTAACTTATTGTTTGTTTCAATTTTTTAAGATATGTTATATCTTATGACCCAAAAAAAAACTGCTAGCGTCAATTTCAGTATACTGGACCTATTTTTTAGTTCGGCCTTCTATTAGCATCTGCCATAACTAAGCCCATGAACTTCATGAATCACTGAATGCATATGATGTATAAGCTTATAAAACCCTGATTCATGGCCCTTTTAAAAACAAACAAAACAATCTCACTTTTTCTTAACTGACTGACCTTTAATTCGAGTTTCAAATTTACTTGAAGTTGCTGGCTCAATTACGAACAGTGAGGCTGAGTATCCCTGCAGATTTTTGCTGGCTTGTATTGTATCTTACTTGCCAGAAACAGGTAAACCTGGTCGTTTTTTCAGAGTATGCAATGAAATTTTAGGTTTCTCTTCTTCTTTTGTTCCCCATATTCTACAACGACCATGTGTAGCTTGTTTTTGGTGAGATGAGATGTAATCAGTTTGATCAAATTGCTTTGGGTTCGTGCCGGGTGGCTTTGGTGCTCTTATGCTCATGTTCTTGATCAACGTAAAATGTTTTGCGTGTCTCGTATGAATCGATTGATACTGTGTTTGCTATAAAGTAGCTTCAGTTCTAGTGAGAAAATAACTTCCTCAAATGACTTCTAGATTTCGTTTTAGATTTCCTCCAACGTCTACCTAAAAATTTATCAACATTTCTCAACGTCTACCCAAAAATGAATTCAACAACAAGGAATCTCTACAGGGCAACTGAGCCGGAATACCTAGAAGATGGAACTCGTAAGGTAACAATTCCTCAACATGTCTTGTTACAAGGATTAGAGAACCAGAAAGAGTATGTTCTATGTCAATTTTATAGATGTTCTCCTCCGTCTGGTGGATTAATATTTGCTGTCTTCAACAAGTTATGGAGAAAAAATTGCAGAATAACTATTACGAAGCTTGGTGAATCAAATTATCTATTCCATATGCCAGATGAATCCACTAGGTCTTGGGTTCTCCAGCGAGGACTTTGGCATGTTGATGATTGCCTAATGTTTGTTGCTTCTTGGACCCCAGAAGCTTCCCTTGCTATTCCTGAGATTAAAACCATTCCTGTTTGGGTAACCTTGAAGAACATACCCAACAGCTTATATTCTATCCCAGGAATAAGTCACATTGCATCGGGTTTAGGTGCTCCCATGGCAACTCACAAGCCTCGGTTGGATCCCATTCTCATGGGTGAAGCAAAGATCTTAGTTGAAGTTGAGTTGACTAAAACTTTTCCAACCCGAATAGCTGCTGATGATTTGAATGGGTTTATTTCAATGGTTGATGTGGAATATGCATGGTTGCCTTCTAAATGCGGTAGATGTGGTCAATTGGGACACAAGGTTAAGTGTTGCTTACAAGAAGAAAACGTCTCAAATGTAGTTGATAACACAACTAAAGAAACTGTTTTGATGATTGACTTGGATGTGGCCGGAGTCTCCAACTCTGCCCCGATCTCTGCTCTAAATCACTCAAGCTCAGCTCCTGCCATAAGTATTGCATACCTGCTACTAACAACTTCATTAAAGATTCCATCATGGAAGCTATAAGTCTGGTAACTACAGCTTTGACAATTGAGAATGTGACTGTCCCTACAGCATATCAAGCCCCTCTTTCAACTACCAGCAATAATGTCATTGAGTCTTCTTTTTTGGAGGCTGCTCGTTCTATGAATGCTCAAGCAAAATCTACTGTCCAGAGGGAAAGTATGAGATTAGCTGAGCTTGATTTGGGTTCTAATAAGTTTGCCTCCTTGATTTCTCATGAAGAAGGAAAAGACTCGTCTGATTCCAAAAATAATTCGGATTCGATGGATTTTATGACACCTTTCGGGGAAGAGAATTCTTCGAAAAAGACCGGTGAAACCATCAACAAAGGCTAAGGAGATGAATTGGCAGTCCACAGGTCGTGGACGTGGAAACCGAGGACGTGGAAATTGAGGTGGTCGCAGCTAATTGTCTTTTATCCTGAACACTAAAGTCAATCAAAGCGGAAGATTTGATTGTATATGGGTTCATTTTATGTACCGTACACTTTTTCTCTTTTTTTATCCGTTTTCTAAAAACTGTATGATTTCGGTCATAACTTGTAACGGTTCTTTTTTTCTTAAATAAAAATCGGTTAAAAAAAAATAAAAAAAAAAATTATCAACATTATAAGTGGATCACCAATTAATTGCAAATTTTCTCGAAACTTTAGTGTGATATGATCAGTATAAAATCTCTTAAGGCTATGGATTTTGGTTTGACTCTCGTGGGGTTATACACTCAAAGTAAGTATGTATTTTATTTTATACGTGTGACATGTGTTAGCTTAACGTGGGGCTTGATCTTGATCACGTTCACATGGTTATCGGACGATCTCTTAATCATTATGGTATTAAATCTTGATGTTTACGTTTGTGACACTTAAGATTCAAAAGAAGAAAGAAAAACAAAGCATTTAATCCCTCCAATCCATTCATATAGCATCTCAATATCATGTTCTTTCAGTTTCGCGTAGTTAGATGTTTACCGAAAATTAGTCCACAATAAAAAAGTATATGGTATCTATTTTTATACAGAACATTTTATGTCGTTTTCTTTTAGATCTTTATTATTTAGAGGTCACATGGAGAAATATCTAAGAAATAATATATATATATATATATATATATATATATATATAATGATGATGAATTACGTACAAACAAAATAGTGTTAAACAAAATATTTTATGTAGTCTTAAATTTGTGCAAGTGCAAATAGCTTAATGATATTGTGTTAATGTTGTCATTTGTTATTACCTAGGTTTAAGTTCATATGAATATGATGTAAATTGTTACTCCCTCCGTATTTTTTTACTTATCGTTTTAGAGTGATGCACGTTTATTAAGAAAAGTAAAAAAAGACTACATTAACTACATACGATTCATCTTTTCATTAGGTTGAATGTTTGTGTTTTATTAATTGAGGGCTACTATGGGAAATTCTTAGCATAAAACAACAAGTAAAAAAATAATGTTAACTCACACCTAGCTTTTATGAATTGAAAGGACTGTTAACTCACACCTAGCTTTTATCATCCACTATCGAGAAATCGCGTCTCCTAGATGTATGAAATTCAAGATTACTAGCAGTATTAATAATCACCCGCTTATCTATGTTATAGAAGGCACTCTAAATGAAAGAATATTATCAGCTTGTTTGTCGCTCAAGAAATCTTGATTTAAATTGCATTTTTTTCGGATTTGATGCCTTCGCATTTCACATATATAGAAATGGACTCTGATTTCGAATTCCATTATAATTAATATAATTTTTACAGTATATTTTTTCCATGTGCTTATTAAAGAGGACATGATGGTGGATGACGATAATGGTGTCTTTAGTCTCAAGCTACATCTCAATCACTTATAGCGGTCCATCTTGTCTCATCCAATATTCATTTATTGTGTTTAATTATGCACATGCCCACACGCCCATGTACATATGTGAATTCTGGATATTTATAAATAGTAAAAGTAATCACTGGTTATATGAATGAAAAAAATGTGATATGACTTAGTTATATAAATTACTCATGTAAATTTTCATCAATTTTTAAGGATACCGCAAATTAAATATGCTCATCACTGTTTGAAGTACTTAACGTTATAATATTTAGACATAAGTCAATAATGTAAAAGCACACACGCGATACAAAGCAGACAATGATGAAAAGTAATGTTCATATGTCTAATAATATATAACTATTAGAATTTGATCATCATTGATATCCCTCGTATTTCTAGGTTCTTTGGCTCCCCACTAATTCCTCTAGGTGCTCCAACCCCAAACTTAGTTTTTTACTAGAAAACAGAATAATGAACTCACTTAAAGCCTTTTAACCAAAAAAAAAAAGGAAAAATGAACTCACTAATTGATATTTTGACTATTTTACTAAGTAAACTAGTTTTGGTGTATAAAAAATACTTGAACTTGCCCCAAAATAAAACTAAGTACTTCCTTCGAAAACTCTATATTCATATATTTAAGTTGTACTATAAATATAAATATATCATATATGTACATATTTTCATAATCATATATTTTGAATTCATGGATATTAGATAGGAACAACTATTCATATATTTGATTCACAACGATCTTTCATATTTTTTCGACGTACATAATATCCTAACAGATAATTTGTTATTTCTTATAGTTTTCACTTATTTTGTAGCACCATATTCGGTTGTCGTGATGTCCGATTGACCTTAGAGTTATAGTTCTTGATATTTTGAAATATATAATTGTTTTTCAGTGTGAACAAAATGGAATTAAAGATTTATTAGCGTTAGGAGAATAATCGATATTTTGTCATTGCAAGGTGCGGGGTATTTACGAGTTGACTACTGACCTTACATTACACAGCCATATGATTGATAAGATGACACGAATATGGATTAAATACAAATAGAAGGTAAAATGGGACGATCTAGTGGCAATTTTTTTATTAATCTGTACGCTAAACCAAACAACTTGATATAAACAGTTCCTAATCTATCTATCTTAAGCAAGATTTAGACATGTTAACTACAATTTGGGACATAAATGTAACGACTATTCAAAATTCAAATATTACATCATGTGAGTTGCGTAGCATTCAGATGTAAAACAGTATTTGAGTACAAATTTATGAATTGTCATTGATTTTTCACTATTAACTTCAGTTTTCCACTGCATAATGCATATATAAATATATTATATTTTTGTACTATATATGTGCTATTACCCAGCGGAAACCCAAATTACACATGTTGAAAAAGAACCGTAAATAAATTAATTCAAATTTCATCTAGTATTTCTTAATTTCTTTGTTGGTCAACCATCTAGCATTTCATAAACATTAATTATGACAATATTAGCAAAGTTTATTTATTTGAAAACTATTGGTATTTTATGAGATTTTTACATATTCGATCAACATTTTCAATATAATGGAAATTTTAAATCGAATAATAAATATATTGAGTTGTAAATTGGTACGAATGGGATTACTGATTTTCCAGGGAAGTCTTTTGATATCCCAAATACTGGAAAGTGGGGTCAATTTGCCCGAAACAAGACGAACAAGTGCCTTTTATACACAATAAATAAAGATAGAAACTACTTCTGGCTCTAATAAGAAGCAAATTTTGCTTACTATATTTTTAAAAAAACGTGTAAAATACTTGGGGTTTTTTTTGGGGGTCAAAAAATTCTTGGGTCTAAGACGTGCATGGTTGCTCAACAACTTTGTTAATTTTATTGCCAGCAACAGCAATGAAAGATCCATTTCTTTAGAAACTTAAAATAATACCAAAAAAACTCTTTAGAGTATATATTTAGTATTATGTATAATACAAGTATACAACTCATCAAGCCCCTAGGCATGCTAAAATAACATGATTGACTAATTGGTAAAAAAACAACAAAATCAAGTGTCAGTACAAACTCGTCCGTGTTTTGAATCCCATAACAAATTAATAAGTGTCATTTTTGTATGTATTAACTTAGCTTGCTCTCACATGGGATTGGATTGGAAACTAGCTAGAGACCAGAGAACCTTTAAACTTGGTTCCACCAAATTTCAATTTCCAATAATTGTATAAGAATAGAATATTGATCAAGTTTATAAGAAACTATACAAATTCTCATACACGTATGTAAAAAAAAAAAATATGCAAGTCAATATGTTTATATGGATTTATGGTTACAACGTACAAGTAGATAAAATCTGGGAATTTTACATTCGTGTTACGATCTAAAAGGGGAAAAAAACACAAGCCCATAACCCATAATATATCACATTTCAAGAAAATTATACGGAAAATATATAACAAAAACGAAGAAAAAAAATATATAGTAAATCACAAAATAAGAAAATTTAACGGCGACGACGTGGAAGAAGCAGATGATCGTATGAAGCAGCTTTACCTGACCTCGGAAGATAAACAATTGACTCTGAAACTGCACAAGTTCTCCGACAAGAACCGTACAGATTCACTAACCCGAACCTATCTCCGATGCTACTCTTTGACAACGCCTTGCTTGATCCACCGGATCTCCGATCTTCGTCTTCTTGATCACAATCGTCTTCATCCTCGTCGTCGTCTTTGGAACATTCCCGTAACGCCGCCGCGAAGGGATCTTTCTCGGTCACGGGGAAGCTCAAGCTGTTCTTTTTACGGGCAGTGTTTTTTCCGGTGGCCGGAAAGTTGATATTCCGGTGAGGAGGGAGGGGCAGTATAGCTGAAGATTCCGTATTTCGACGGTGGTTGAGTTTATGAGAGTAGTCTTTGGGTTTTCCGGGAAGCTGTTCCCAGGAGAAAGGGACGCCGAGGAGACGGAGAGGAGTCGCCGGAGAGTTCAGAGGAGAATCTCCGGGAAACACGAGGGAACTTGAGGAGCAAGAAGAGAATGATGAGAAGGAAGAAGAAGAAGAAGAAGATAAAGATCGCCGGGATGAAATGTTTGTCTTCGCCGGAAACTTGACCGGCTCGGATCGTCTGGATACAATTCGAGTTCTTGAAGAATCCATGAGGAAAGAAGAAGACGACGAAGAAGAGAGAGACAATGTGATCCAGAGAGAAACTCTGTATTTTTGGCCTTTAGTTTTATCTCTGATGAGAGTGAGATTTCCCTTATAAACTGTGGAGAAATAAAAAGGACAGAGTTGTCCAATCAAATTCTTTAATATTTTGTTCAACTAATTGTAATTTACAATAGTGATAATAAAAAGCAAAACATAATTATCACATCTAAGTATTATTGTTTTGTTTCTACTCGATCTTTAACTCTTTCGTGGCGATTTATTTATACGCTTGCAGTTGAAACTTTTTATTTAAATGTGGAATGATTAAAAATTTAGGTGAGGAAATAGAATACGCACCGGAACTTAACAGAGAATTAGATTTTGGTAGATATGAATGTATAAGTGCATACAGAGAAACGTCTCAATGTATTAGGAGAGTGTTATGAAATTGCAAGTAAAGATGAAACAAGATTGAGATCGATTGGTGACCCCATTTGATTAGGCTGAGACGTGAGAGATGAAAACGACATTGGACATTAGGGGCATGAACTTTTAAGTTTCATAAATAGAATACTTTCTAGAATAGGATTCAATAAATAAATAAATAAATTGTTGTTAAATTGATTTGACTACGGATTGGTTAAATAATTGAATCATAGCTACATGTTAGTACGTAATTCATTACTGAGAAGTGAGAACAATGAAAGAAGAATAGTTAGTTGCAAACTTATAAATGGTACTATTGATTAGTGCAAAACAAACATAACAAATGTGGTTAGTTTATTCAGTGCGGCTTGTGTTAATAATAAATATTTGGCCGTGCTTTTCACGAGGAATAGGAAAGTTTCGAAGAGTACCGACAAGTTCCTTGTAGTATCAGACTATCAGTCACGGATATATGTGATCGTTTTGGTGTTTTCTTCTTTTTAGTTGAATTACAAAAGTCTCAAAGTAAGTTCAATGATGTTACTTGCCAACAGTTTGCTGGGTTAGTATTTCTCAATTACAAGGATTCCATGGTTAAGCTTTATATAAGTGCAAGTTTGCAACCCATGAGCGAGAAGAAAAAAAAAACTATATGAACTTTTTAGTGTTTTAAAGATTTAACTATTCTTTAAAATTTTGTTGCTACTGTCATTGATCAAAATTTCTAACTATTAAGTAGTTTTAATATGCTACCACAATCCGATTGTAATAGCAGAAACTTCTCAAACTATTTATTTATCATTTTTTGAAAAAGAACACTTTTGTTTTTAGAAAACTATAAGGAGCCGAAACTCACACATCTGTACAAAATGTCTATAGAAAAAAAAAGAAGTAAATATCAAAGGTTCATACAAATGCACCAATAACATGAATGAAAAGAAAAAAGTTTGTACACTTCAAGAGCGTCTAAGAGAAAGTGGAAAAATCCTATAAATTAAAATAAACTTTTATCTACCTTTAAGGGAATATTTATATAGAAATATGATATACATTTAAGTTCATAAATAGCAGAACCCATACTATTTTTGAGCCGCCTACTACAACAACGACAGTATCTTGGGTCTTTAAGACTTTGCCCACTCCTTCACCTAAATGTATGGAGCGTTAGAGCATCTCCAAGACACTAAATTCCATCCTAATACCTATATTTAAGCAAATCGCGTTGTTTTAGGGTTTTCAATCGTTTGGTTTGATTCCGGTTTGGTTTCTTCGGTTTGGTTCGCTCTTTTCAATTTCTTTTATTTTTGGTTAACCCGATTTTTCAGACCCATTCGGGTTTAGTTCGGGTTTGTAATCCGGTTTATTAATATAATATTAAAAAAAAAAAATCTCCCTCCAAAAAATAGAGATATAAACAATGTTACTCCAACCACTATTTATTTCTCAGTTTTGAGTTGAACTTTATATTTACTAGGAGAGAACCTGCGCGTATGTGCGGATCTTGTTTGAATTTATATTTTAAATAATTTGTATTGAACTTTAAGTTTATTATTAATATATTTTTGTCTAAAATATTTATATTTTTTTTATTTCTTCTTGATGATATATTATATGTAATCTCCTTTACACCAGTTGTATTAAATAGTTTCATTTTTTTCGATCTTTATATTCTTTTTATTCTTGTAAATCGTACTAATATAATATTTGTTAATTTTTTTAATTTAATATTTGTTTTTTTTTGTTATATATATTTTATTGATTTCATCTTTTTTATTACTTAAAAAAACCATAGATGACATTTTTATGTGGATATCTTTTTTTTACTATTATTTTTAATAACTTTTATCTTTTTAATAGTTTATTAAATATGATTTGTGTTTTACAATTTTATTAGTTGAATTTTTATATAAGATTATTTGAAATTTTTTAACTTATTTAGTCTCATAATTTTTTTTCACTTGCATTAAAATTAAATTATATTTTTAGTTTATAAATGAAGTTTAAAACATTTAAAAAGAAAATAGAATTGTACATTTAAAACGTCTTGTATTATATAATATTTATAAGTTTGTATATAGTTAAATTTAATTTGAATTTTATTCTAATATAAATATATATTAATATTTATTTATGTTTTTAATGGGTTTAATGTGTTTTAATATGTTTTAATATGTTTTAATGTATTTGCTTTAAATATAATTAATTAATTATTTTATTAAACTTGAAAATGACAGGTGGCGCTCTTTCCAGCGCTGATGTGTCACTCAACTGCAGAGAAATGGCTAAGTTTTATATATAAGACAAATTGATCCTTCAATTTTGGTATATCATTTTACACTTAAACAAAACATGTTTTAATTTTATACTTAAATACGATTATATTACAAATTTTATGTATTTAATTAAATAAAACCTACATCAAATAAATATAGAATATATTTGGAATAGAGAAATCTATTAGAGACAAATTCCACACTATTTTTTTGGAAGAATTCCATTTTTTTTACTTTCTCAAAGATGTAATATGAATACTGTACAAGACATAATACAAAAGGTTAGGGACTTGGGATGATATCGATCGGATTCATGTTTTTGGTAGAACCATTGGGCTCAATGAGTCTATTAGGGAGTCTATAAGGGACTTAAAGATGATATTAAGGATTGATGTCTTTGGTAGAATCATTGGGCTCAATGAGTCTATGTAAAATTATATATGGGGTCAAATCGAGCTAACATCTTTAAGCCCATTGCTTCTTTTTTCGTCTCCATAGCCGATTATCTTTCTAAACTGACGTTTCTCTAGTGTGTTCGTTCTACTTTTTTTTTTGTGTTTGGTCGAGATTCATTGTAATGTACGTAAGTACATTTCTGGATGCCAACATATAATTATAGTCCAACAAATTTTCGAAGAAAGTCAATCACCGGACTTTAACAAAATTAAATTTGCCAACTACTCTAATATAAAAACTTCATTGCTAGTAAATAATGGGTCTCAAATTTTAACCACAAAACGAAAAACTATTAATATAAGAAATACACAGAAATGTAGGTTATGAGGAAATGTAGTACACGTCGAGGCTTTTTCTTCAACGAATATTTAATTCAGAAATATGGTCTATAATCTATATTTAGGAAAGAAACGAAAACAGACTATCAGAGAAACCGTTAATGATAAAAAAGAAGAAGAAGAATCCAAATTAATTTATATTGCCGTGACGTAATTGTCATATAAATAAAGTGTACTCAAAAGAAAATGGGAGAGGTAGATGCTCTCGCTCGTTCGTCATGGCAATAAGTGGATCATGTGGTCCATATTCTCTGTACACTAAAATTTATATAAAAAAAACCTCCATTTCCCGCTCACCTTTTTCTTTTATAACACGGTGCGTTACGTCCACGCGCCGTCGTGGAAAGTGAGGCGAGGCAAACCCATCTTCGAAGAAAGCAAACCAGCACAGTGACACACATACACAGAGTGATGAATGACACAAAATTGGATCTGAAGCTGAAAGCAAAACAAAAAAAAACGAGACAATGTTGAGTGGGTCATCACGTGCGATCGACACGCGTCGCCGTCATTTGTAGTATCAGAAGTGGGACCCGTCGTTGAAAGTTGATATTGTGAGTTTCTCTTAGAACTGATCTAAGCCATTCATTGTTTTTGTGTTTATGTCTCTGATGAAAGACTTAAATGATCCCGAGAAATCTGTTTTTTTTCCCTAAATACGATACAATCTTTGACTTTTTGATAGAGAGTTTAGTTATTTGGACAATCACGGCCGGTCACGTCACGGTCAACGCTCAGGCCTGTCACGATAAGCCAAACTGAATCGGGGATATTTTTGCATAGAGAAAGAATATGGAGAACGGTCTTTAAAACGGTGTCGTGACGGCTCTGAAACGCACCACCGTACATTCCCGTAAACTCACGTCTTCTTCGCCAGATACATGCATAGATATAGACATCATGCATGTTCACACGAATAGAACTTACTATTTACATCATATACAAGATGCAAATACGTTTTAGTTTATTACAATATTAACACACACACACGCGCGCAAAAAAAAAAAATAGATAGGTATCAAAAGTTCCCAAGACAGCTACACATGCTTTCCCAAGACGCTGAATAGTAATACAGCTATATATGTTTTTTTGTGTGCACATTTTTATCCTGATCGAGCTTTAGTTTGCGTACGTACGTACTCTATTTGAATTGATCTACCGATTCTCAGGATTAAGGAACATTCGGTTATCGTTTCTTTTTTTTTCGTTTGACTCGCGACTTTTCAAAGCTCAGTTAAGTTTGACGAATTATTTCATGATTCTTTCATATCCCAGAGATTTGTTTCACTTTAACACATTTGATAAGATTTGTTCATTTTTAGATGCAAATAAGTGTAACTATAAAAAAAACATCAAATTATTAATATTATATATCAGTTTTACTCGATCTATATAGATTTCATCAGAGTCATATTACATATATGTTGTTGGTTAGACAAAACTTATAACATGTTACCAATTTGTTGATTGTCGAGTGGTAATGTGTTAAAATGGTTTAATTTCGCCATTCTAAATCAAGTCCACGTTTGTGAGAGATGATTTATATATCCTCGAAAATCGGTATTATCAAAAGCTAGTCTTAAATCCGAGAAAACTACGTAATCCATATCTCGTTTAAAAAAAAAACTTAAAACATGTTAAAAAAAAAAATTAGTGGTGGCACAAATCAACACAACAACATTCTACATTGAAATATTTATTTTACATTGAAATAGCAAAAACTTAATGTGGTTTTGAACTCCAATATTAACGATAAGTATTTAAAGTTAATTATAGTACGTGGAAAGGCATCATCATTTCGTGCTCGAGAGATATTAGAACATCACAGCTAATAATTTGCTATGCAAAGCTATGTTTTGAACAAATTAGAAGAATTTTATTGCCTCGAAAAAATACAAAAAGAAAAAAACAAAAACACACACATGGCATTAACTAGTAGAGGAAAAATCAAATAAACACATAATCGATCGTCTTCCAAATATGTCTTTCCTTTTTTGAAAAAAATATATCAGGTGATTCTCAATATGACAATTATAGAGTGGAAAACACTACTTGAAAATACAGCTCTATATTCTGTATTAGAGAGAAGTATATTCGAAAATGAGTTTGGTGCATGCAAATAGAAAAGAAAACAATAACAATCCGAAAAAAGAAGGGCTGAAAAAGAAAAGAACAGAATTTAAAGTAGCAAATTATACACTAAAAAAGAGAGAAAAGAAGAAAAACGAAAACATTTTTTTCTCCTTCTCGCGACCCGATTCCTTTCAGCAGCCGCCAGCTGGCATTATGCGTTTCGCCACGTGTTATTTTCTCAATGAACATCATATTGCTGATGTGGCAACCACTTGCTTTGTTCATACCAGTTTCCTCTCCTTAAATACAGCTCTCAGCATCTCACCCCCCGATCTTCAGAGCCTTCCTTATTTACCTTACTACATCTCTCTCTCGTTCATTCTCTCAGTTTTTAACTCCGTTTAAATTTGCCGTCTGTAAAATTTCTTTTTTCATAAAGGGAAGAATAATGCCAGGTTTTGACGGCGTTGAAAATCAAATGAACGGTCCAGATTTAGCAGCTCGTCTACCTCAAGATCCTCGTGAGCCTCGCTCATTATTATCATCGTCTCCTTGTTTCCCAATCACCCTCAAGGTAATATTACAGACACAAATCCAGATTTAAAATTTTAATAATACTACTTGATTACGATTTTTTTTGAATTTAAAAAGAAAAAATAACACACTCACTGATTCATTATTTGACTTGCTTTGACTCTGGACTTGACTCTTTCCTGATTTGATTAATTATATAGTTCGTCGATGTCTGTTACCGAGTGAAAATCCATGGAAAATCCAGCGATTCCGGGAAAATCAAGAGACTGTTGGGACTCGAACACCAAACGTCCGATGAGATCCGATCAACGGAGGAGAGGACGATACTCAGCGGAGTCACCGGAATGGTATCACCCGGCGAGTTTATGGCCGTTCTCGGACCATCGGGAAGCGGAAAATCGACGCTGTTAAACGCGGTCGCAGGGAGACTCCATGGATCAGGCCTCACAGGAAAAATACTCGCGAACGACTCGAAACCAACGAAACAGACACTAAAACGCACCGGATTTGTGGCGCAGGACGATCTCCTCTACCCACACTTAACCGTCCGCGAAACCCTAGTTTTCGTCGCCTTGCTCCGTCTCCCTCGGAATCTAACCAGAGACGACAAAATCAAAGCCGCCGAATCGGTGATTTCGGAGCTTGGGCTCGCGAAATGCGAGAACACGGTCGTCGGAAACACTTTTATCAGAGGGATCTCAGGCGGAGAGAGGAAACGAGTGAGCATCGCTCACGAATTGCTCATCAATCCGAGCCTTCTCGTCCTCGACGAGCCTACCTCGGGACTAGACGCTACGGCGGCTCTCCGGCTTGTTCAGACTCTCGCCGGGATGGCTCATGTGAAAGGGAAGACGGTGGTGACGTCGATTCACCAGCCGTCGAGCCGTGTGTTCCAGATGTTCGATACCGTGCTTCTTCTTAGCGAAGGAAGGTGTTTGTTCTTCGGAAAAGGAAGAGACGCCATGGCTTACTTCGATTCCGTCGGATTCTCGCCGGCGTTTCCGATGAATCCGGCCGATTTCCTTCTCGATCTTGCTAACGGTACGTTCCCCAATTTTTAAATCCCAAAATTTAAAATTCAGCTTTTCAATTATTTAACATAATGACTTTCTTGTACTAACACGCATGATTAACTTATTAGTAGCATATTTGATCATTCTGTTATTGAAACCAAAAATATAAAAACGAATATCTCTCACTACATGATTAGACCTATGATTCCCATATTTTTAATGTTTGATTTGTGTGAAAAAAGTATTCTTACATGAATTGACTGACGATAAGACAAAAAACTTTAGAATATAAAATCGTCTTTTTGGGTGGTGAGTATGTATAATACGTATATGTATATAATGAATCTTTGATACTGAAGCCATGCATAAGACTCATAATAATACTCATGTGAGGAGGTGAGATATTTGTATAGAAAAATACTAGATATTTGTATAGAAAAATACTACGAAAATAACAGCTTGACCCCAAAAAAAGAGAGTAATAAATGCAATATTTATGATCGTTATCGCCGACGTACGATGAGAACTATACAAGTCTCTCTCTCGTTGACTCTGGTCGTCGTGGTGGCTCTAAACTTAATTACTTGTTCACCGCTTAAACAAACGCTAATCTATAAACTATTACATTAGTATAGCGTTTTATTTCTATTATGGTAAAGGGACTTCTCTAGCATCTTTTCTTCTCACCGTATTTTCCAATAATTGTTTATTCTAAAGTTTTATGATTTTTTAAAATAAAGTTTGATAATTGAAGGGTGGCTTTTCTGATGTTAATAATTATGGACAATTGGGATACGTGTTATGTCTTTCTTTCTTTCTCTCTTTTCGAGTATGATATGTATGCCACAGATTTTTGGGTCTTGGCATATTATATCATCTGAATAAATGTTATTCCTTGCTTTTATATAAAAACCTTATCGCATTACATATTTCCACTACTAAACTTATCGCATTACACATTTACACCATTAGACTTATCGCAGTACACATTTACACTATTAAACCAGCTTTATTTTTGTTTAATTTTTGAGTCGGGGGATAAATTGATAATAAACAGAAGAAATGATGTTTTCGGGATAGAAGAAAAACACCACGTGTCTAATGGGTGTTACGAAATGACGTATGGGTTTCACAACCCTGGCTATTGTGTTTTCTGTTTCCTCTTTATCCAACTTTTTAAAAAACTAGTTCTTCTTTTTTGCAATATCCAAACTTTTTCATATTATCTCTTATCTTTTTTCTCTTTTTAAATAACTATTTTTCTCTTTTTTTGGCCAACTAATAAAAACAACCTTCTTTTTAATTGTTTTAATCAAAAGCAGACTTCTCACTCTCTCTCTCTTTTAATTTTTTTGTGTTGTTTTTGAGTTCCACGCGTCATGACTTAGCGCGTGGTTTTTGATTGTCTACGCTTTCGTTTTTCCATGCATCCCTGATTTGGGAAAACTTTTACTTTAATGGGTAACCGCCTAAAGGAACCCAATCACACTTTCGCATTTAACGCGTGGTTTTCACACACTCTCAATCGGTCAATCCAATCCTCATCGAAGCCATAAATTCATATTCGTTGGGAATTGGACATTCATACTCTTAACTCACTTTCAGTGTTTTTTTGTACTCCTTACTTTGATTACAAGAAATCGTCATAGCCCTCATGACTCATGGGTATTCGCATCACTGATATTTAATTTTTTTCCTATATATAACTAGTCAGAATAATTGTAGTAGTACAAGTTTTCGTTCACAAAGAAAAGAAGACGAAGAATTGGGAAATTACAAGTTTTAACCTAAAGAGACATATTCATAGGTCACGTTAATTTATTCCATTTCGTCCTTGCTTTAACTGAAACAAGGAAAAACGTACCAAATAATGGTACGACTGTTTTGACGTTTTAGACAAAAAAAAATGTGGACCAAACTAGTGATTCAGTACTAATTGTTACTATGATGACCATATTCATTTATGGTCCATATATATACTGTCTATAGCTAGCTAGCTATGGACATGCATCACGCACACATACACACGCATGATTAAAATATTTTTTTTGGGGATTGTTAATATAAGAGTAATGACTAATTGTGATACCCAAGACCAACAAATCTCATTTAGGTTGTATTGTGATACCTAATTGTTAATATAAGAGTAATGACTAATTGTGATACCCAAGACCAACAAATCTCATTTAGGTTGTATTGGTCTTCGTCGTCGTTGACTTTCCATTTTTGTTTGGTGTTATTATTAACTATGACAAAACTTCACACATATGTATCTATGTCCTATGTGTCAGTGTGTGTACATATGCACTCACATGGGATGTATATTCTCGTGACGCCATAGATAGAGTAAGAAAGCATTAATAAGACGGGGAATAAAATGGCACATAGAAATCGTTTATCTTGAAAAAAAAAATTAGTTTGTTGCGCACGATGGCATCAATTTAGTATTAGATCTAAATTATTAATTTGGTGGGTATTAAGTTCTTTGTCTCCACGAACCATATGCTTCACTTTCAATCTTTCTTTGTATTATTACTTTGAGAAAAAAGTCCCATTTTATTGGACCAACCATCCACAAGACTATTCGATCTATTCCATGAATATAACTATGATCTTTATATGTGTGTGCATGTATGTGGTTTTCCATGGCTGGAAAGTTGATAATCACAAACCCTTTAGCCAAAAAAATTTGATAATCACATGATCTTATGAGCAAGAATATTGTTTGACTAACTATTCCTTAATTATTACTAATAGATAAAAAAATTTGCTATTCTTCATCAAAAAATGTTAGATATTGCTTTCTACGTCAAAGTACAACAGTGAACTCCACTTGCCCTAACTTATTGATCAATTTGAAAGAAAAGAACAACATGAATTAAATTTTATGTTCCAAAATTATTGCTTTTTCAAAAGCTGGCTTATAGTTATGACATTTGATGATTACACTTGTCGAGCATTTGACTGTGCATTGTTCACTAATTTCTTGACTTTCTCTAACTTTTGTTTTCCAAAATTCAATTATAATCCTGATGATAACGAAAGAAAAGAAAAGCTTAACACGTGTTATGAATTTATAACTATTCAGCTTATTTTGCATAAGCTTATCTAGAGAAAGTTAAGTTGAAATACCATATTATTTGATACTCAAAACTTTCAATTTTAATTTTTTTTGGAATCAATGAAGAAGCTAAAATTAAGAACCATAGTGGCGACCTTATGCTTTCTTGGGTGGACTCTCGCCTCTCCACCTTGATTGGTCAGCTTTACTGCAAATCCGATCTCAATAACTATTAATTTAAAGATATTTACTTTTGTTAGATTAATAAACAAATGGGTCCAACATAGTGTCAAAACCTATTTAATTATATTTGTTTGGTCGGTCCAAAGAAGACGATTGGTCGATTCGCCCTCACCTCTGTTCGGTTCAATGCCACTTTGAATTGTCTTTTCCTTTTTATATATAACTAGTATACGAGATTTAATTAATTATTCCATTGGCCAATTAACTTTCACCTATTTGGATGATAAACTGAGTGGCTCGTTTTCATTAATATATGGTTTGATAGATACTAATGTGAATTTGATTGGCCAGCCTGGATATTTAGATTACTAGTTTATTATCCGATGAGCGAGTCTTGGATATTTGCTGTGCACTAGTGGTTAGCAAAGACACGAAAATAACTTTTTTTTTCTTAATCTACCAAAAAATTTACGATTATTATACGTAACTTCTATAAGCTAATTAAGATAACTTGACCTATGCAGGAGTTTGTCAGATTGACGGCGTAACGGAACGGGAAAAGCCAAACGTGAGACAAACGCTGGGCGTTGCTTACGATACATTGCTAGCACCAAACGTCAAAAACTGCATCGACGCGTCAACTTCTCCTCCAGAGAACGCGCGTTTTGTGAAAACGCGAGAAAACCCCCGTGGAATAACGTCCGGTCTCAAAACATGGTTCAGCCAACTCTGTATTCTCCTCCACAGACTTATAAAAGAACGCCGCCACGAATCCTTCGACGCACTTCGCGTTTTCCAAGTCGTCGCGGCTTCAGTACTCTGCGGTCTCATGTGGTGGCACTCTGATTATCGAGACGTACACGTAAGTATAACTTAAACACTATTAATCATATTTGTAACATTATTGGTTTAGTTTAGGCGTATTTTTCTAACAATAATGTTGTTACAGGACCGACTAGGACTACTCTTCTTCATATCGATATTCTGGGGGGTACTTCCGTCTTTTAATGCAGTTTTCACATTCCCGCAAGAACGCGCGATTTTCTCTCGAGAACGTGCGTCCGGAATGTACACACTCTCATCTTACTTCATGGCCCATGTCCTCGGATCACTCTCCATGGAACTCGTTCTCCCGGCTGCGTTCTTGACGCTAACTTACTGGATGGTCGGTCTACGTCCAGGGCTAGTCCCGTTTCTCCTAACACTCTCCGTGCTCTTGCTATACGTTTTAGCCTCTCAGGGACTCGGACTTGCCCTAGGCGCAGCCATCATGGACGCTAAAAAAGCGTCCACCATCGTGACCGTGACAATGCTAGCGTTCGTCTTAACCGGCGGTTACTACGTCAACAAAGTGCCGTCCGGAATGGTTTGGATGAAATACGTTTCCACGACGTTTTATTGTTATCGCCTTTTAATCGCGATCCAATACGGGAACGGAGAGGCGATATTGGGAATGTTTGGATGCGAGCCAAAGAGAATGCAAGGAGCGGCTGCGACGGATGTGTGCCGGTTTATGGAGGAGGAAGTGATCGGAGACGTTGGGCTATGGACGTGCGTTAGCGTTTTGTTTTTCATGTTTGTTGGTTATAGAGTATTGGCGTATTTGGCTTTGAGGCGTATTAAACTTTAAAATGAGGGGGAGATGGATTAAAAAAAAAATTAAATAAATAATGAGTGGGTAAAAAATTAATTTCTAGGTTTTAATTCGGAATATTTAAGCGGTCGCTAGTTGTAATTTTGCGATTTGGCGACGGTAGGTGGATTTAGCAGCTTGTTCGATTGTTCAGTTTTTTTAACATGTGAAACGAAAATGACAAGTATTTTTAGTTGATTTATATTAATAAAAATGTGTATATTCTCATCTATTACATGGTTTTCACTTTTCATTAGTTATGTATATGAGAATGTCAAAGGATCCACTTGACTGGGCCGATTGACGAGTCCAATCTTGTGTATGGGCCCATAGACTTGTTGTTGAAGGCTCCATGTTTAGATGGTTTTATTGTTTTTCTAAGTGGCTATGTATATTTTTTAAACAGACATCCAACATCTTAAGCTTATTTTCTTAATTTTTATATATGTTATGTTACATCGAAGACCAATAGCACCTCTAGAATTTGTAGAAATAAATCTAAATGAAGTTATCAATTAAGAAAACAATAAATATTCACAGCAAAATTTTAAAAAACTATTAAGAAAATTCAAAAAAGATTATAGTTAAAATAAATGTCCAAAAATGCTGGTGATTACCTGATAATTTTATCAAGATAATTGGTTGATTCATGATTTCTTAAAGATAATTTGCCTTTTGGGGACAGGGTAAATACAGAAATTTGTGGGATCATATGGTATGGAAAAAAACAAGATAACCCATACAATAATTTTCTTACAGGCCAACAAATTCTAGCCGTCAGATTCTCTCTTATTCATTTGAGACCGTCCGTTTTTTAAGTCGGTTAAAAATTAACATAAATGGAAAAGTCATGTCACGCGGATTGTGAAATATCCCAAAATTCGATTATAAAAAAAAAAAAAAAAAACAAAGAGAAATGCAAACATTTGCTTCAGGAAGAAGAGTCTGCCTCAACCTCATCACCGTCGTCTTCTTATCGCTGCTCGCTCTGATCGTCATGGCTGAATCTACCGGAGAAACACCGTCCGAAGCGAAGGTTCACATCATCTACACCGAGAAGCCTACCGATGAGGAACCCAAGGACTATCATCTCCGTACCCTTTCCTCCGCTCTCGGCAGGTCTGTTAAAACAAATTTCTCTGATACTGCTCGCTCTCGATTTCCATGAGAAACAGATTAATTTTGGAGTGGCGTTGCCTTGAATGAGATGATTTTCGCGTGTGATCGCTTTGATTTAGGGTTTGTTTCTCTGGAATGGATCGTTTAAAGAGGATATTTAGTTGTTTGATTGTGATTTTCTATCTATGTTTATAGTTTAGATATTTGGGCAAAATCGATTTTGTTGGTGAAACTGTTTAGATGGATGCGTAATTGCGTATAAGAAATGATAATTGATTGTGTTTTGTTTCTTTATGCTAATTTACAGTGATGAAGCTGCAAAAGATGCGCTGATTTACAGTTACAAGGAAGCTGCTTCTGGTTTTTCAGCTAAACTCACACCTGAGCAAGTCGCCGAGATATCAAGTACGTTTTTCATCAGAGTCTTGCACTTACGTTACTCGTTTGAACATTTAAATTATCTACCACATTAAGTTTTCTAATACTTGTAAACTTAGAAATTGCGTAAGAATAGTAGCCTCGCTATTTGGATTTGAAATTGAAAATTACAATGTTAGTTGGAATGGGTTCTTATCTGGTTGTAAACTTTTCATCAAAATACCATTGAAACAATGGAGAATGTTATGACTTGTGCAGATCCAAAAATTTGTTTTTTTTCCTTCTAAGATCTTAGTATGTTCTCAGATACCATTTGGTTAAACTACATTTGGTTAAACTATGATATTTCAGTGTGAGATTTCAAACCAAGTAGTAATAGAATAATCATATCACGAATGCACGATTTATGATAGTAATGTTTTTATTCTTGCTCTGTTTTTCTCATGATTTTTTGGGGGATTTGAGTGTTGCAGAACAACCAGGTGTGCTTCAAGTTGTGCCGAGCCAGACCTATCAGCTGCACAAACCTGGTGGTGGTTTCAAGTTGACCTAACGTTGACTCTGTGTATCCATCTTCTTCTCAACTTGATCTGTTGGTTTACAGAGACTAGCTTCTTGTTGTAATGTTGTGGCTTTGAACTAGTATCTAACTAAAATAATGTCATGGATTTGGAGTTGTTATGTGTTGTTGAGAATCGAGTTTCTTCAATATATATTATTTTAAGAGAAATGTTTGTTTTTTTAGTTCCTTTCATATGCGTTAATTCGGAAAAGAAATACTAAGGAATAAAAATAATAATCTGGTTTCAAATTGTCTTTGCAAATTGCTCGAGTTTTTCTTTTTATAATACTTGATGGTCTGTCATCTAGTGACAGAGCAACAAAAGAATGTATTGCTTCTATAATTTCTACTCAACATCTACTCTCAAAAGAAAACACAAAACTTCAAAAAAAGAAACTATAAAAAACGACCACTACGACAAGTGCCAAGTAAACGAATCAACGTTTTTGTTCTGTTGTGTCCTCTAACAAGTTAAGTGTATTCTTCCTGTCCACTGTAAGGCTACGACATCAAAGGCTAAGAGCCTGTGTATTGTAAAGACAACTTCTCCTTGGTTATTCGTAGATCTTCTTTCTCTTCAATATTGTTGGAAGTATGGAGATAAACCCGATGAGGAAAAGCACCGACAATGTCTTGAAATCATACAGATCCTTCACCGATTTGAGATCTCCAATAGCGAGGCCAGCCTGCGATAATAAAAAGAACCAGAGTTTAAGTTCTGTTTAGATGCCAACAAAGGAATGAAATCTTGGAAATATATGACATGGAGAATGAGCAAAAGGGCTTTACTCTGACGGTAATATAAGCAGCCGGTATGAGGCCAACCAATGTCGCCAAAAAGAAGACATGGAAAGGTACATCGACAATCGGAGAAGCCAAATTGATAAACAGATTTGGCAGAGTTGGTGTTATCCTCAGAAACAACATATAGTTCAGAAGCTTATCTCTACGCTTACCAATCTGAATATTGTACAAAACCACGAACTAATCAGATTTCTCATAAGGCTATTGAGCACAAAAGGGACATATGAGAGAGGAGTTTACCTCTGCCTGAAAGAATCTCAATTTGTCAGGCCATAGCCAAGTAATCAGTGGCCGGCCGATCAACTTAGACAAAAAGAAACACGAAGTAGCTCCTGCGGTTGCGTTGAAAACAACCAAGAAAATACCTTTGATAACACCAAAGAGAGCTCCAGCTAAAAGTGACATGAAGATGGTCCCTGGAATCATGAAGGTCTGCATGAAAATGTAGGTCGCACAATACCCTAAAACAAACTGCGCCGGATATTCATTCGCATAGTTTGCTAGATTGTCTCTGAAACACAAACAAGATTGCAGATTTCAATCGAAATGACCAAATCCAATCATAGACATGGACACTATTATCTATTATACAGGACTAATCGCTATCACAAAGCTCAAAAATTGATCAAATTCGATTTTCCAAGGTAAAGGTTTTGCATCCTAATCAGTGGATCCTCTAAAAATGCTACAAAAATTGGATCGTAAAGCATATGGGAGGGGGAAGAAGAAAATTCACTTGAGTAAGCGGAGATCAGCGATGCTTCTAGGGAGCTTGAGCTTGCCAAATTCTGCAGCAGGCATGGTCATGTAGATGCAGCAGAGACCGGAGGAGAAAACAAGGAAGACACCGAGAGACACCGCGAGTTCCCACCGGCTAAGAGGGAATCGATCGAGTTTAGATCGCTTTCCCGATGGCGAGTCATCATCGTCCGATATCGCTCCAAGCTCTTCGTCCCTCGTTAGAATCCGTGCCGGAGCCATCACCAAATGCAACAAAAAAAAAACCACGCGAACTACGATTCGATTATGGATCGTAATTTCACTGACAACGATCTGAAATTCCGATCTCGAGGATTCGTTGGTTTCTCGGAAATGAATTCAGAGGGGTTAGATCTGAGTGATTTCGTTTCTAATGAACATGTTTTTTTAATGGCATTACAATCTTTGGCTCATGAAGCCCTAGAGATACCAAAGGAAATCAATCAGGTTATTTTTTGTTCTTCAGATTAACGTACAAGAAGAAGAAGAAGAAGAAGAAGAAGAAGAAAAAAATGCAAAACGAAGCTGGAAAATACTTTTACGTATCGTTTTTATTTTAAGTTTTTCCATCTTCAACAATCCGAGACGGAGAGATTCGAAGACGGCTGACCTTCTAAACAGGAAAGAGGGTTCTGACACGGACTTCAAGATCGACATCTCTAAACAAGCGAGAGGGTTCGGATTAAGAGGAAGAAAACAGTGAGCACAAGATTATCCGAGACAAAAACGGAGGAAGTTGCCGCAAATCATAGTTAAAATCTTTTAAAACTGTCAACAATTTGTAGAGATGAGGAGGAAGAAATGTGAGAACAAATCGTTTGCTTGTTGTAAGGCTAAAATGGCAATTATTTTCTAAAATGGCAACCAAGTGAAAATCATTGTCAACTACATTTGATATTTGTGATGCTGCCTTTGATCAAATATCAAGAAGGGTAGTTAGTGGTTGGATCGTTTGTAATAACCACGGTGTGGCTCAATTCTGGAGTGCTTCTAATCTAGAGACTGTAATTTTAGCTTAGGAGGCTGAAAGTAAAACGCTTTTGTGTGCAATGCAGAATGTATGGGCAATGGGTTTTGACTCAATTATCTTCGAAGGTGATAATAAGAGCTTGGTCAAAATTGTAGAAGGGCAAAAAGAAGATCTCAGTTCTCAATCTTTTTGATAATATAACAAGTCGAGAAAGAAAATTTACTCATATTTTATTTTTACATGTTAAACAAAATGGAAGTAGAAATGTTAGCTCGTAATAGTTTTCCAAATAATATTTTTTTTCTCTGATTGTATTTACCCACAAGATGGCTAACAAATACTTTGTACTTTGATTTTGTGACATTAATGTAATACATATATTTTTTGCTAAAAAAAAAAATTGTCGATAATTTTCTCCTCGGTGGAAAACATAGACCAGACCAGACGACGCGACTACTTGACCGGGTTATACATATGCAGAGCCGTGTACAAAATAAGGCCCACACAAAGTTGGTTATAGGGCCCCAAGGCCAACAACCTTTTCAAAATGAGGCTTTTGCGTTATTGTCTAAACATATGTGTTCAGATTTTGTTTTCTTGGTTTAAATGTTAATTATGTGTTCAGATTTTTTGTTTTGAATTCCATCATATAAATTTCTTTTTACTGTCACAAGAGAAGTTGAATTATTTGAATATCTATTACTAGATGAAAAAAGGGTACTATTCATTACCGAATTGCAACATATAAAATTTGAAACCCATGTACAACGTAAACCTCTTATATATCTATGAATGAAAGCCTATCACATATATAAATTAAAATTGGCTTTCATTTATAAAAAGTTAATTTGGAAATTAATTTAGGTTTTGTCCCCACTCGTGAGTCCAAATTGCATACTTCTGTTAGTGATTAAAGAAAATAAATGATTCCACCTTTTCAATTAGGTAGGTTAATCTAAAGATCGAAACTTCGACCAGTAGGCACATAATCGTAACAATTTCTAAAATACGAGTGAGATGCAATATATATTCAGGTTTTAAAGATATTGATTTGTAGTAAGATGTTATAAAGTGATAAATGATATGATCCGTGGTTAGAAACTCAGTACCATGAGTAGCACTGGTGAAAGCGACACTGCTAGCTACCTCTGCAACTCTGCAAGTGGCTTATACAGTCATCTTCTATGAGAAGAAAAAAAAAACATTTTAACTTTGTAGAAGTTAATATTAAAAGATAAACAAAATTTAGAAATCCTTAGGAAACTTTTAAGTGTGAATACCTTAAGCATATGACTTCGAATTTAGATCGTATAAGTTGTTTTATATTGGTTACCATTGATTGTGGTTTGAACCAAAATTACAGGTTCTCTAATATAATAGACCATGCATTGTGATATAATCATGACTCAAGAGCACATGTTGTTTTAATTTTAATCAATAGAGGTAGAATGAATGAGTTACAAATGAGGTAACAATATAAAAATGAATAGAAAACCCCAAGCGCTAATATAAAAAAAAATCTACGTATTAAACAGAAACTTCTTTTACAAATTGACAGTTATAAATGTTATTTTCCGAGATGGAACAATTAAATCATAGAATACAAATCAATAGAGAAGGATTTCCTTTAATTTATGAGTCAGGGAAGCATCCAAGAGACTGATGAATATTAGCTTCGACATCGTTATAGTTTTGATGCATGGAAACTATATCATAACTCGGCCCCGGATGATACGACTGCGTTTCGAACGGGGACATAAGAACATTAGGGTTTTGTGGATGTGTGACTTGTGTCTCAAGCAAGCTATCTAGTGTTCTCCAATCCACACAGTTGAAGCTCTTCTCTTCCTCTTGCTCGAAACTCTCGTTCTGATCTTTATTTGTCCCAAGACTCGGCGACAAGCTTGGGCTGTCGAGCTGCGGTAGCTCGATGTTGCCATATTGATGCATCGATGAGGATGCATTACTAGTACTGAAGTGATTATTGCTCATGAGCATCTGGTTAAGGTTATGGCTCGATGAAGATGCACCAATATGATGACTCGTGTTCATTGTCGGTGAAGATGAGTAGTTGTTACTACTATCGACGTGGTAGAGCTGGTTCTGCCATGGCTCGTACCCTAATGGCCTCTGGTTTGGAATTGGCTTCCTGAATGCTCGACATACCACCCAACCTTCCTCCTATAAGTCACAAATATATAATGTTACTATTAAGATAACCTGTTATTAATTTAGTGCGGTTAGTTTTGGTTGTTTATTAACTCTAACGAATCGATTGTAGAAACTTTGTAACATTTTAATAGTCTTTGATCTCTAGATGGTATCAGAAAGTGTGTAGAAGACTGTACTATTTTATTAGTATTTTGTGGCTGACTTGATTGATCTTGAACCGTGTATCAATTAGAGTCGTTAAATGTATACCTGAACCGGAGCAAGCTCGGAGTTTTGGAGACGGTATTCATGCATGATCCAGTCGGATTTTCTTCCATTGGGAGCTCGACCCTTGTAGTAGACAAGTGTCTTCCGCATTCCTATGACACTGTTCTTTGAAAGCACCGCCTTGTCTCTACCGGTGGCTTTCCAGAACCCGGCCGCAGTGGCTCTATTGGTCCTAGTTCCGGTCGGGTACTTCCTATCCTTGTGGCTAAAGAAGTACCACTCGTTTTGCTCTTCATACCCTAGTTTGCACCTCGCTGCAATGTCACACCAAGTATCAATGTCATAATTTCTTACATCACAAACTATTAGGAAATTAATGTTAAAGAAAAAATAAGATTGAAAAACTATGTGCTGAATTGTTATTTGAGTATACATTATATGATTATAGTTTCCCACTTAAAAAAAAAAAAACGAAACAAAAATCAACTAGTTTAATTTCAAAAGAAGCATTATGATTTATGATTGTACTACATCTCTTAAAATTTCTTTGTAATATTCTTTTCACACTCACGTTTATAAATCCTACAAGTCAAAGAAAGTAGGCATTCTCATTCACTTCGCATGCCAAATTCATCACATATAATTGACTTCAAGAAATCACATTATAACTAGACAATTTACTGCCACTCCATGCAAAAAGATTAATTAATTATAATCATTATACAAAACCCGCGTTGATTACCTTGTATATCCCACGGCTCCATTTTGTAGAGATCAATCTCTACAATGACATCTAAAGCACTCTTCATTGAATTGATCTTCCTCTCTAGGTAATAACCCACAAGCTCTTCCTCTGTCGGATGAAACCGAAATCCCGGTGGCATACATGATTGCATTATACTATCCATTCACGTTGATCCTATAAACAAATATAGTTCGGGAATTGTTAGAGAGATTAGTAAGAAACGAGATGGAGAAATGGGAGAGAAGAGAATGCTATGAGGGAAATGAATTGTATATAAACATAAGCGTGTCTTTTTGGAAGCTATTGCGAAAACCTTAGACAAACAAGACACAACCTTAAAGTTTTGTTTTTGGGACCAAAACCAAAGCCTATTACAAGCTTCGTTATATTTAATTATAAGAAAGGGATCGAATGGCTCTTGGGTCCAATGAAATTCCAAAAGCTGTGTTGGGTAATGATAGTGATGTTACACACGGACACACATGATAATATATTAAATATCTAGAAATATACACAAACACATATATATGAGTTCACATGTAGATGGATAATATATCCAAAAGCTTAGATCTTTAAGCTTAAGGCTATAGCTATTATATGTTACTGATGATGGTTATGATGTATTTCTATGGGACCACCCAACATTGGAGGAGCTATTTACATTTATAAGAAAAAAAAATAAAAACAAAAGGTTTTGGAATTTTGTTTTCTCGAGAAAAATATTTGGTTTAAGGGTTTGTTACGCCTTGTAAACTGTACATATCGAACGATGCTTATAAACGGGGAAAAAAATTCATAGGTTATAGAATATATTTGTACTATATAATATAACATAAGGCCGTACTATAAGACCTAAAATGTATAAGATATAAATAAATAAATATATATATATATATTCATATGTACATATGGAAGATAATCATATATCAAAAAATATTAGTCAAAAAGCTTGACGGGTGGAAGTCACTGAGGTTGGATGTTCCTTTGAGTGTATCACACACTCTTGTATTGAACTATATCCATATACTATCTATAAATTTTATATTAATTATAATGGTGCAACAGCAATTAATTTCTAAGAAACAATAATTAAGTACAAAAAAACATAGATTCCGAAAACCCAATTCATTTAAATTCCTCGTTTACTCTAATTTTTTTCGGGTCATCATTTAAACCAATATTATTCATACACTATACAAGATACGAATCTTCATACAGCCTACCCATCTACAAAACGATCCAATACTATATATGTATATTACATGTAATGTATATGTGATAGAGAAGAAAGAAACAAACACAGAAACGCCAGTGCACCATCATGGTTCATGCATGTATTATGTATATGTATATAGTATCCATAGATACTTCTGTGTGTGAATTAAATACGTAAAACGAATAATG